ATATAGGTGGGTTAACCCGCGGGTTGGCGGGCCAACCCACCGCGGGTTAGGGTTATGGCGGTGCGGGTTATGTTTTTCAAGGTAGTGGCGGGTTGGCTTTTAGCCAACCCTAACCCGCCATTTTTGGCGGGTTGGACCCGCGGGTTCAACCCATATTACCGGCTCTTTATGAGGGGCTGGTGCAATGTGCGGCTCTAGTTTATTAATTTTTTTTCCTGAGTTAAAAAAGAGGTGTGAAATGAAAGCTACAATCATACAAATCAACGGATCTCACAGTGTCATGGTAGATTAAACATGTTAGTAGTTTGTATTGTTCAGAGTTCCTGAATTTAATCTTTTTTTTTTGTTAACTAACAAAAAATTGGCAGCACGGCCTGATATATTTGGGTGTTCTTGATTTATATACAAGAACTCGATTCCACCCGGGCTTCAATAGATTCTAGCATTCTTTATAGCATTTTGCATAAAATGTTAAATCATGTCCACTTCTCTTCTTTTTTCTTTTTTCTATAAAAAGTAAAAAAGAAATTGATACAGTTAAATCTGATGCGTTTCATTCTAGTGAGAATGCCATTATGAGACTACATATACTTTTCATTAATTTTTACTTTGATATATATATTAATTATTTATTTTATTTTATCAGTACTGTTAACTTCTGCCCAGAAGTTAATTAAAGTGTTAACAAAACAAAATTACCAGAATTAAATACGCTTACATAGTACAAATAAAGAATTTAATTGTGAAAAAAATTATATAGGTATCAAATTAAAAATACCAAGAAAATATAGCTGTTGAACTTACCTTCCTCGTACATTCCGTGTCCTTGAATCAAATTCCTGTAGTTGGTGCCACATCACTATCACTTGTACATGTTATACAACATATAAGATATAACTGATTAATTTAGTAAAATTAAAAAAACTAAATAAATTATTTAATTACAGCATATATTATATAATTTTTCTAAAATACTTATATATATCATTATATTATATGTTAGTTTACAAGTCAAGCTAATTAATTTTAAAAAATGATAAATATATCTAATATTTTAAAATAATTTATTTATTTATTTAATCTTTCTAAATTCTGTAAAAAAATTTTAAAAAATAGTTAATTGGGTTTTATACTAAGAATATGAAGTGGTATTAACTATTAACAAATAATACGCTTCCTGTATTTCAATTAACATTAAAAAAAACTAAATGTAACTTTAATTCTTGTGAAAGGGAGTTTCTTCACCTTAAGTCAAGACAATATATATATATTGAAAGTAATTGAAGTTCTCTTCATCTGTAATAAAAAAATAACTATTCGGCAGATCATAGACTATTGCTAAAGAGACGATTATTACCGTGCAAACAATATGAGTCATAGAAGTCATGATAATTGATACATAAAGTGGAAGATAATACATGAACAGCATGTAGAAAATGACAGGAATGAATTATTAAAGGAGGATGATGGTAGGTTTACTTTTTCTTTTTTTTTTTTTTGGGTGAAAGGGTAGGTTTACTATTAAATTGTCTAATTTGTTGACGATAAAATAACAATAATGAAGTAGTATTGTATTCAGCGGCAACAGGACTAGGTTGAGAAGAGAGACAAAAGCCACATCGCTTTCGGACAGCCTCGAATTTGCCGCTACAAGCCAAAGGAAAAAGAATAGTACTAATAATAATAATATCAGAAGGAAAAAGGGAAAATCGAAAAAAAAAACAGCTAAAATAAAAAAAATATAAATAAAAGCCTCATGATAATATTAGTATGAGTTTTGACAATAATTTTTATAAACAAGTCTTTATATGTAGTTTTTTTTGTGATTTTTCTAAGAAAAATGACACACAAAAAATTAAAAAATTGTAATATTTGAATTTAAGCATGTCAAAATCTCAAGAAAAAAATGATTTCTAATCTGGTATTTCATAAATATAGTAAAATAATAAAAATGTTCTTATATCAAAAGGTTTATTAATAAATCATGAACCGGTAATGACAAATATAAAAAAGCAAATAACAAAAAAATGTAATAAGTTATTTATTAGTAAGTTGTAAGTTAGTAATGACAAATGTTAAACAACTAATGATAAGAAATATATTAATAATGACAAATTTAATAATTTTTTTAAAAAAATATCATGCACAAACATTTTAAACATTTAACTATATTTATAAAAAATCAGATTAAACACCACTTTTTGTCCTAAAATTTTAACCTCTTAAATTTTCTAAGTTTCTAAATAGAATATTACAATTTCCAGTTTTTTTTTTTACGTAATTTTTCCTAACAATAATTGAATTCCGCTGGGCAATACCGAGGAGTCGCATCGGGGCCCTTGGTTGTCGATGATATCCAGTGAGATGCGGACACCTGTAAGAACCCACGTGGGCCCGGGTCCCCCTCCCTCATGCCCGGTTTTCAAACCATATTTTCCCATCAGGGACCACCGTGTGGGTGTTGCTTTTATGCATCAACATCATAATTCATATTCCTTCCTCTCCTAAATGTCATATTTATCCTTCACACCTTTAATTTCTCTCACCTCTCTCTCCGGTTGCCTTTTACCAACTAAAATCATTTCTAGGACACCACCTCATTTTCTTTATTCGCCTGGCTCACGCGTTTTGAAGAAATAGGATACATACATAGTTACTCAGATGTGCGCCCGATGGAATTCTTTTAAGGCTACTTAAAGTTTTGCCTGATAATTAAGCATTTTTTTATGGGACACATACAGGATATTAATTATAATCTGAGATTTGAAAGGTACGTTTTCACTAGGAATCAGAAATACTCCTTCGATCCTAAATATAAAATTTTTGTACTAATGTGTATAAAGATTTTATATTTATGATTGGAGGAGTAGTGTTAGTCCCGTTGTTTCTGCTTCTACTTCCTAGGAGGGAAACATGTCGTATGAAGGAGAAGGATTCTCGTATGTGTAGTTTGTGATCCATGTCGTTTATATATAATTGTATGAATTGGAAGTGCCGAACTGTTGCTGAAGAAGATATTACACATTCAGTTGTTGCTGCTCTGGATATTATTAGTATATTACCTCCTGGTTTGACTGTAACTCTGCCCTTCTTAATGTTATCGGACCACTTGACTTGATGATGAGCACTTTTTAGCCATTCTCGCCTTTTGTTTTTTGTCCCCTCCTTAAACAAACATTCTTGCGCCAATTGAACAGGAAAAATCACACGCAATGAATTTAAAAATTTATTATATTTTGAATTAAGATTGTTTCTTACATTTCAATATGTTGGATTATACTTAATTTATAAATAACAACGTATTTTCGTAAGAATTTTTATTTGTGATCCAGTAATTCTTTTCCCAATTAAATATGTTTGCAAATCAAGGTACACTCTGATTTTATCGCACAAGTCGCTGTTGATGTAATTCAAAAGTAATCAGTTGGTGACCAAAAAAACAAAAGAGCAGAGAAATCATGTTCATAATATAAAATATTGGTTAAGTTTTCTCACAAATCAATAAATGATTAAAGAATGCACTAGGAAAATTCTCCTATCTATCTCCTGCATTTGAAATCCCATTTCCTCCTCACAACAAGAGGCAAATGGAGAATTATCATTGATAAGATCATTGCACAGCTTTGAACAGCAAGCAGGTTTATTCTATCACAGCCTTTCAGCTCTTTAGCTGGGCGTTTATAAATTTCTCTCACAGAAGTTCTAAGGAGTGGTTGGTTATTTTTGTTTGATAAAACCGAATTCATTTGTGGATAAAAACAATAACATTTCAAAATCTGTTTTTTTAACGATAAACGCTCCTCTGTTAGGTTCGCTCATTACACAAAGTTTGAAAATCCAATAAGCAATATTCTTTGCCATTTATGCTGGTCTAGGTCGGTTCTAATCAAATACTTACTATTAGCCCCATCTCTTATAAAATATATTTGTTTAAAGCTTTTTATGTTTCAAAGCACAAGACATCTTATGAGAACAATGAAGTATGTATTAAGTTTTTTTTCCCTAAATGCCCTTCACTATTAGAGCGTGGAGTAATGTCAGTATGGATCAAACTATTAAATTGTAAAATAACAAGACACTTAACTAATAGTAGTATTAACTAATTTTTAAATCTGAGTGACTCGGTTAAGCATATATTGTAAAAAGGAACAGATGGAGTACCCATTAAATCTGTCTTCTCAGTATCAAATACATAACATTAAAAATATAAAAATTAATTATGTGTTTATGAAAAGGTTGGAATGCTTTTCATGAGGACAAATACCAGTGATATGTTTGACAGTTTGAAAAAGGGAATTCCAACTCTGCAATCAGAAAAGGCGAGTCGCAATTTCCGAAAAGAAGAAAAAGAAAAAGAAAAGAAGGGAAATGTAACAGTGTGTAATAATGAGAATATATACTAATAATTTATGGAGGGCACAAAAGAGAGGGGTAAAGAAGTAATTTGGCGAGAAAAGGACGCTGATAAAATACAGGAAACTGGGGGGGCCGAGCATGAGGTCGAACGCGTCGCATTCGCTGCCAAAACGCGGGGCTTCTCTTTCCGTTTCAGTGGGCTCTCTGCTTCCCATAATCATTGTCCCTCTCTCCCTCCACTGTACAAGTGTTCCTCCATCCAGCGGTCCTCGCTTCTCGGAATCTTTCTTTTTCCTCCTCCCAACGGCTCTGATCCCCACATTCTGTCTCAATCGTGGTTTAAGCCTCCGGGTCCCACACTGACTACGACCCCCTCCTCCCCCACAAAAATTAATCACACCCCCTGCTTTCCCTTTAACTCCTAATTAATACTTAATCCCAATTCATATAATCACGCCATTATTTTATTAATCTCATTTAATCAACTCTCTAAACTCTGATTTAAAAAATTAATTGTTGGCTGTTTCGCTAGCAATCCTTACTTTATTCCTCCGCATAATTCCAAACAAAAAACCAGGGGCTTAGTCCACCCACTCCAATTCTATTGAACACCTCCCTGCTCTTATAAAGACGCCTCACAATCCCACCTCTCTTCATAATCTTAGTTCTCACACCCTCCTCTGCTAAATTCCCAGTATGTTGGGCAACAGACCTCGTCCGATGATCGGCAAGTTGTCTGAGCTGCTGATCTCCGGCGCCCGCGCCGCCGCGCTCATGGACACTTCCGGGAGCCCAAGAGGTCCGTTGGATATGAGCTTCAAGATGCACTCGCCCCGGGGGTTGAAAAGTTACGATCTTGGCGGTGTTGGTCTTGGTATTGTGGTGGCTCTCCATAAGTCCGGGGGAGCCGGGAGGGAAATTTTGCCGAAATCCGCCGTCTGCAGTCCGGGTTTGACCCGATCGGAGCCCATCCCGGTTCGGTCCATCAAGAACCCAGACGGGTTTCACAGGGGCGTTAATGAAATGGAATTGGGGAGCTTGGAGGATTATACATGCGTGACTTGTCATCTACCCGACAAGCCCTTCACTAGGGTTTACTACGGCGAAGGCGAGAATTTGAGAAATGGATTTAATGAAAATATCAAACCCAACGCATGTAATCCCAAAAGAACTAACCCAGAAAGCGTATGTGAAACAGAACGGTCTTATCCCACCTCAGATTTCCTCAATTCATGTCATCTGTGCGGAAAGAAACTCGACGGCAAAGACATCTACATGTACAGGTACTCATCTTGCTAAAATCCTTCGACAAATTAACCTTAAAAAACAAGCATGTTCCATGTATCAATTCAGATTGCTTGATTATGGTTTTGACTGTTATGGTCATGTTTGTTTACAGAGGAGAGAAAGCTTTTTGTAGCCCAGAGTGTCGTTCAACACAGATAATAACGGATGAGAGGAAAGAGCAGTGTAGGTCAGAAGCATCAAGGTCCGTGGATTTGTCGAGCTCGCCATATGAAAGGGACCAAATATTCTCAACTGGGATTCTGGCTCTTTGACGTTTGATATATATATAAATATATATATATATATGTATATATCTGCGTCTGCCTTTGGAAGATAAACCAGATACTAATGATGCTACTGTGACCTTCTTAGTACATAAAATACGACTATACTAGTAAATTATCATCGTCCTTATGAGAATTGAGACGGATTGATGGTAACCCAAACGAATTTTTGATCGGAAGAAATAATATAGATTCTGATGTATTGAGAATGATAGTTGAGATTTTTTTCAAGTTATCCAACTGCGGAAACCTGTGAACCTGAGTTCTGAGTTTCACGGATCTTTGTTCTGTTCCTGTGTTTTCTTCTACTTACTCCGTCTTTTCTATCAAAGCTTAATCACCATAAATTATCAACTGTGTAATAATCCAAAGATGACACCATGATAGGACTTTAGGAAGTGGAGGAGCCTGCGTATGCTGACTTGTTTCTGAAGATAGAGAAATTAATTCAGCTATAAAAACATAGGTTTTTATTCATAACTCAGCTAGATTTGAAGAGACACTTTTAAACTGGATTTCCTTTAATCCAGTACAGAGCGCATGCAAATGAGTGAGTAATTCATCTTCTGTCCGAGCACTTCAGAAACCTACACCGAAATCATTAAAAAAACTTGAATTCTGGTATCTTAAACAGTTTTAAACATGAGAAATTAAAGCTGTGTTATGAGAGAGGCGGTGGAACACAATAAATAAGAGCATGTAAAATGGAGGACAGAAGGTTGAAGATGGATGGAAAGAGGTTTGATGAAAGGGGGAAGTGATGGGTGGGGTCAGATGGGTGAAAGCAAGAAAGTGGGGTGAGATGGGGAATCCACTAACCAGTGATGAAGACAAATCTGGGTGTAAAGAAAGAGAGAATACAAATTTAATTAAAAAAAATTAGTTGAGGCAGTAAGAAGTCAGTTTATAATTTAGAAGACTGAGTTAGAATCTATGAGGATATATAAATATCTTTATAAGTATTTTTTGAATTTGAAGTGACTGAGTTTTAAAACCCAGCTCACCTAGATTTTTGTTAAAAAAAAAAAAAAACAGCGTGAGAGCTCCGACATATACATATACTTTTATATATTATTCACAGCTTTTTTTTTTCCTTTCGTTTGCCATAGTATAATTTTTTTAGGGGCATCTACCCCCTCCCCCGCTTGCTCACATTTATTTCTACTTCCATCACTTTCATAGCTACCTCTTCCCTCACTAACGGGCAATTTAAATTGACTCGTTTGTCTGTACGTTGTTTAGATTTTCAGCATACCATTATTAACAATGAATATTGCAGCTTTCTATGTGTTTGGTTATTTGTTGCTATATATATGTATTATTTCCCATTCTTTTTATAAGATACAAATAATTACATTATATAGATCTAAAAGATGATTAAATTTAGTTGCAAGATAATAAATAATACCTCTTGTTCTTAATATAAAAACTAAATAACTAATTTACAGATATTAAAAAAATTAGTTAAGTTAATTATTTATAATAAATAAGTATTATTTTTCTAAATTACTCCTTTTAATCATGTGTTGAAACTGCCCTTTGATGAAAATCATTTAACATGTATTTTGAAGAAAATAGATAAATATAAAAGACAAAATGAATCAGCACCTTATATCTAAAACCAAATTGAATATTTAACTCTTATATTAAGAATAAAAAATAATGTTTAAAACTATATAATTTAACAGAGAGTAAGGGAGATTGCGGGTAACTAGTGAGACTAGCTAACAATTAACAAAGACAAATGAAAAAATATTAATACTAAAAGTTTTAAATGGGCTAGTATCTTGTAACTGAAGACACGTATTCCTAAAAATATTCTATTACACATAGGATGAGAGAGCGGATATGACAGATGTCATGAAAATTTATTAATTCAACTGATTTTGTAAGTTTTTCATATAATTCTATTTATTGACGGGAAAATTACTGACAGGTCCCACAGAAAGCAATTTATTCATCTAAGGTCTCACGAAATGTTAAAATCACTGACAGGTCCCAAGGGACCTCAGAGTAATATTTTTGATTTGTAAAATGACATTACTGCCACTTATATTCCATATTCACATTTGGTCTGTCATTGCGATTTACAACCTCAGCAGCGACTATTAACAACCGAATGAGAGGGCATTAACAACCTAAGCAGTATCCGTTAACAACTTACTTTATAGAATCATATAACCTCCATATAAGAGTAAATTATAACCAAATAGTATAATACAACAACTTTAACACTAAAATGGGAAGCTTTTTGATATCATTAAAAATTTTAACTAAAACCAATAAGATTATAATAATATTTTAATGCAAAGATCCATTTACAACCTTAGCAGCGACTATTAACAACCGAATGAGAGGGCATTAACAACCTAAGCAGTATCCGTTAACAACTTACTTTATAGAATTATATAACCTCCGCATAAGAGTAAATTATAACCAAATAGTATAATACAACAACTTTAACACTAAAATGAAAAGCTTTTTGATATCATTAAGAATTTTAACTAAATCTAATAGGATTATAGTAATATTTTAATACGAAGATCCATTTACAACCTCAGCAGCAACTATTAACAACCGAATGAGAGGGCATTAACAACCTAAGCAGTATCCGTTAACAACTTACTTTATAGAATTATATAACCTCCGCATAAGAGTAAATTATAACCAAATAATATAATACAACAACTTTAACACTAAAATGGGAAGCTTTTTGATATCATTAAGAATTTTAACTAAACCCAATAGGATTATAGTAATATTTTAATGCGAAGATCCATTTACAACCTCAGCAGCGACTATTAACAACCGAATGAGAGGGCATTAACAACCTAAGCAGTATCCGTTAATAACTTATTTTATAGAATTATATAACTTCTAGCTATAACTAACTAAATTATAACTAAATAGTCTTAAAGTTAATCTTATATAGTTGTTAGTTAATCTTATATAGAATTATATAACCTCCGCATAAGACTATTTAGTTATAATTTAGTTAGTTATAGTTAGAAGTTATATAATTCTATAAAGTAAGTTGTTAACGGATACTGTTTAGGTTGTTAATGCCCTTTCATTCGGTTGTTAATAGTCGCTGCTGAGGTTGTAAATGGATTTCGCATTAAAATATTACTATAATTTTATTGGTTTTAGTTAAAATTCTTAATGATATCAAAAAGCTTCCCATTTTAGTGTTAAAGTTGTTGTATTATACTATTTGGTTATAATTTACTCTTATATGGAGGTTATATGATTCTATAAAGTAAGTTGTTAACGGATACTGCTTAGGTTGTTAATGCCCTCTCATTCGGTTGTTAATAGTCGCTGCTGAGGTTGTAAATCGCAATGACAGACCAAATGTGAATCTGGAATATGAGGAGCAGTAATGTCATTTTACAAATCGAAAATATTACTCTGAGGTCCCTTGGGACCTGTCAGTGATTTTAACATTTCGTGGGACCTTAGATGAATAAATTACTTTCTGTGGGACCTGTCAGTAATTTTCCTTTTATTGACACACAATATAAAACTGTAGCAGCTAGAGATGCACAAAATGCACACCCTTTTACTTTCTCATCAAGATCTTTTTGGTTTTTTTACTTAGGATGTTGGAATGACCAACTCCTTTTTAAAAAAAAAAAAATTTGTGCCTGTGCACACCCACACTTGCAGAAAATGAATTAAATCTATTTATTTTACTGAGTGAATTTTCCTGCCATGTTGATATGGTGATTTGAGTGCACTAGCTGGATAAAAAGTGGCGCAGTAGTTTGGCGATTATAATACTATTTATGAAATTTGGTGCTATAAGGCTGTTTAAATAACTAAATACCACTTTTTTTTGGCGATTATAATGCTATTTATGAAATTTGGAAGGCTGTTTAAATAACTAAATACCACTTTTTCTGTCTCATGAGATCAAGTTTTGTTCCCTTAAATAGAAAACTCAAGCTTTTGCCATTAAAGAAAAGGAATAAAGTTGTTCAAGTTGAATACTTTTAAGTACAACTATTGTTCACCATCTTTCATGAGTCTTTATTTTTATTCGCTGCACGGTTTTAATACCAAACTAGGATTAGCTCAATAACTCAACAAGCAGCTTAGTGACTATTCAGCTCATCAATAAAGTTACTTTTAAATTGCCTTTTTTCTAACTTTATTGTTATTTGTTGCATATTTCTCCTAAAACGTGGAAGTGTTCATGTTTCTTTTCCACGGGTCTGTGTGAGATTTTTTTTTTTTTTGGAATGAAAAATGAAGAAGTTAAATTGAAAACTCAAAAAAGCAGCTTACTCTATATGAATTGATGGGCTCGTTCCAAAATAGTAAATGGAACTTTTAAATTAAAAAAAAAATCAATGAGTTACTAGTATATAGGGCTCGTTAATTATTATCAAGATGCACATTCTACTTGGTATTATTTTGATAATTAAAAACCTTAAATTAATATCCTGTTCTAATTCCCGGCCTCAAATGCTAATGGGTCAAAATCAAGAGTGTGAGGAAGTCTTCCTTTGTGTGGTCCTCCATGGTTGTTTCTGCTCTGTCTTCTTGTGAGAAAGCATACTTCATCATGAAGGAGCAGGGAAAAAGGCACATCTCACTCAATTAAATAAGAAAACCCCATTGAATTAAAAAAATACAGTATAGTTTTTACCCCCCAAGTCTGCATTATATCTCAGTAAACTTGAATAGGCATCACAAGAAAATATGTGCAGATGTTTTAAAAATCTGGAGCCACAAAACTCTTCAACCAGATGGGCAAGGGAGACCAGAGAGCAAAGCACCGGAAATATCTATAGGTAGTGGAGGACGCTGAGTGAAGAGGAAAATCATTAGAAGTGATTCCCTTTCCTTTATGTTTCTTTCCATTTTCTGTTCTGTTTCTTGTGTTTTGATTCTCCGAGTTATAGAAAGATGAGAAGAAAATAAAGACTGGTAGAGCGAAAATTATCAGAACATAACAATGGCAATAAGCGTCGCCTCTGGAGCAAGATGGCCACCATATAGGGTGGTATATTGAGGATGCTTCTCAGAAGATTCACCATTGTTATGTTCACGGCCTTCTTCTGCACAGCCTAGACAACCATGAAATTGAAGCTTATCAATCATCATGTCATGTGTCTAGGACCGATAATGGAACCAAATATGTGTTCAAATTATAGGTTTTCAAAACAATATTAACCTTTGGCCAAAAAGAAAAAAGAAAAAAATATTAACCATTATAAAGAAGATAAAGAAGGGAAAAAGTTGTTTATGCAGTAAACTGATTTCAGAAACTTCTAAAAACAG